TTCATAATGTTAAAAGCTTACTCACGATATGTAAAATTTATGTAAGTCGAATTATTATCTAGAAATAGATAAAATATTTAATTTTCATAGACATTACAAATCGTCGACGTTTCCTGAGTATAATTATAGAGCTAAATTTTCCCTTTACTCGTTTTCTCCTATTGATTTTTCATGTCAATTCATATTATACCAAACACATTAATTATAAAGTCGATCTATTGGGTTACCAATACTAGGACACCAATGTATGCTTACCACACAAACCAATCCCTTCTCTCTTTTGTGAAAGTATCCTAACCATAATCCACTTCGCGGAGCTGTCAGAAATTTGAGAACGTTACAGAGTTATCCATCCATAAATGGAGATCCAAATGCGAACGATCTATTGTAATTACCATCGGCTGTTCCGAACTTCCGGTTAATCCACTCGACGGCAATCATTTCATCGAATGGTTTTCGAATATCGATTGGCGCTCATTTTACGGGATATAAAACCGACACGTTTGTACCGGGCTATTTTCGATTGTTATATAATGGACCTCGCCTCTAATACAGTGTTCGTACACGCTACGTGCATTTCAATATGCATAATTAAATGCGCAAATCGCCAAACGACCGACGAGTACAACGGGCGGCAAAGAGGGGAAAAAATAAATTTAAAAAAAAAACCTTCGGAGCGTCACTTCAACAGGTCGTCATTTCTCTCGTCACTTGTGAATTCATTAAATCGCGTTTAATCAATTACACACACGTTCGACATCTTCCTCCGTTACTTTCCGGGGATTCTGACTTCTCAGCCAATTTGCGCGCTTGAAACGACGAATATTTATTCGACGGGCGAGTCGACTACGCGACGATCCGGTAAATACGCGATGCATTTAATCGGCGCGCGCGTGTGCGCGATCCTGCCCCAAAAAGTTTCTTCTCCCTCGATGTTGATCCTGTTACCAGAGAGCCAGAGGATTAAGCACGATACACGGACGATTGCCTTACACGATCACCAAGTAACTTTCACGTTATCGTCTCATCCACTGGCCGTTTATCCTGTGCAGAAGGCGCCGCCGCGCCGGTCGGCCAAAGAAGAACCGACCGGGAGTGCGCCAAGGCGAGAAAGCTATCGAGTTACGGAAACTCCCGAGTGTGAAGGAAACTCTTTAATGTTTTCGCCGCGTTCTTTCGCCCTTCCGCTCCCGCTCCCCGCTGTGCCCCGGGAATTTATTTAATCGACGCAATAGCGAAATACACGTTCTAACGAATTCCGGATGCGTCTTCATGCCTCACGTAACGCCTCTAAATAGAAATCCGCAGTCCGATCGTTAGGCGAATATCGGGATCTAACGGTCCCGCCGATCAGCTTAGTTGCCTCAACTTTTTCCATCTCCCACCTTAATGTTTAATCGAGCGAAGAGGATGGGAATCTATTTGTTGGAGTCTTAATATCGACTGAAGACAAATAATCAAATATTGAAAGAATATATGATATCCTACTTGGGGATATTTTTCTCCAAGAATATACTTTTCTTCTATTTCTGGAGTCAATGGATAGGAATGATCGTTACAATTTCCAGACATTGAGATGACCTGCCTTCAGCACGGGTTCTCGCAGAGAACGGGCGATATATCCGCGCAACATCAAACGTGTTAAATAAAGCCAACGAAATTCCGATCGTCTGAGAACTTGGCGGCGGCTGATCCTGTTGTCAGATTACAGGATTCAACCCGATACACGGGAAATTATCTCCAACGATCACCGGTGAATCTTAACCGCGCCTCTCGCACTTATCCCCGCTTCTTTTTTATCTCGATCGAATCACAAAATAAAAAGAAAACACAACGGAAAACAAGAATATGTGTAAGAAAGGCAGAAATTTGCGTTATAGAAATATCCTATTTACCTAAGGGAGAAAAAGAAGGCGAAGAAGCGAGAAGAGAGGGAACAGGCAAGCGCAATAACTTCACAAATGCGAAAGAGATTCTATGATATCACGGCGCGTATCTCGTGGCAACGAGAAACTATGCGAAACACTCTTCCACCTGCTTTATGTAACGTGTAACTATGCGAAGAGCGCGACGAAGACGCGACTCTGATTCGATCCTCGAATAACGTTTAACACTGGTGGTATACCGTTGCGCCAATATTATGCTTTTGAACCGTTAACAGAATTTCCCCTTCTCCAACACGAGTTAGAAAACTCTCGCTCTCGTCAAAATTAATCAGCAGATTCTGCACGTGCGCGCGCGCGCGCGCGACCCTCCTTCCCTGAAAAAAAGCTATCACGAAGCCCTTATATATCTATGCAGCGGCCATCTTCTTTTTCCAAACAGAAACTATTTATATAGCGGTCCCCATTACCGCTGAAGATTAAAGAGCGTGAAGGCGCAATGGACAGTCTGAAAAATGTAGGAATCTCTCAAGTAGAAAGCCGGATTACTCACGTTTAAAATTCCCCGACGGACAAAATCGCCGCTTCGATCTTTTCAGTAGTATTACAAGACCGCCGGCGTTATTTGAACGGGAGAACTATAAGAGGGCACAGGGCTAGATGGGAAGTCGAAAAACCGCAAAAGTCTATCACATAACCAAGGGAGGTCTATCAAGTGACCTATTTGGAATTCGACAGTGGTCGAAATGATCGCTTCGGGTGATTCCCGTCTTAAAGAATAACCGCGAGAGCTATTGCTGCTAAAAATCGAATAACGCAAGACTGGAACAGGGAAAGAAGAAAAAAAGGGAAAGAAGAATTTGCCGAGCAAACAGGCGAAATTACATTCGTTCGAAATTCGCTGATGTTCAAAAACTATCGTTTCAATCTTTGCAATTGTAAAAAACTATCAGCAATTCATATAAAGGTATAACGGTGAAAACTGTGAAAAGTCGGGTAAGAGCGGAATATAGATGGTAGGATAAAATAATGTGGAAGTTAATCGAGAAGCGAAATTCGGGATTTTACGGCGCCCGAGATTCGAGCGGAGCGGTGGAAATGACCGCTCGTCTCCGCGGTGTTAAATTACCGCCCTTATTTGGACAAGTACGAAAGATCCTCCGCGGATGCGAGACCGAAGGGATTTAACGCCAGGATCCCGTTACCGGGACAAAGGATTAAAGCTCGATGCACGGACGATCACCAACTAACTTTCGCCTTATCCTCCCATTTCCCGTTTCTCGCCGCAAGCTCGCCGGCGCTCGCCCCGGTAGCGCGCGGCGCGGCGGCGGCGGTGTGAGTGCAGGGGCGAGAAACCTGTCAAGTGCAATAACTCGAAATGCGAGAGAAATTCTTTTGCTATATACGGCAGCGCTCCTTCCTGAGCGCGAGTGGCTGCACGAAACGCCCTTCCTCTTATTCTTTTTACATTTTTTTTTTGACGTAACGCGTAGGAGAAGCCCATTACGCCGCCGCGGGCGAGTTGATACCGAGCTTATGGTTCAAATAAGGAATAATACTCATCCCGAGATTTCCCGCGTACCGGGGCGGTGTAGCTACATATCTCGAGTAGCTACACGTCGCAAAGACTACGGTATACATTAATTATGTTTGTTAACATAATGCTGTTTCTTTTACTCGCAATTTAGATCTGAAATTATATTGTGCGTTGTCACCGCAACAATAGTGCCATTATGTAATATTGTTGCACTCGCAATTTCGAGATGCACCGATTCGTTTGCACGCAGTATGTGATGAAAATTAGAAAGAAAGGGTTAAAAAAGGAAAAAAGAGCAACGCTACTTAAATAGATAGCTAGCTTAGACATCGCTATTTGTCGAGCGCTCTAAAATAGCATCCTCTCAAGCGTTAAAATATTACATACGTTGTTTCGAGGCACGGTGCGTCACAGAGATCTAATTATATGCCAGAAAATATCATTTATACGAGTCAGATTCAGATGATGGAAGATATTTTTTATTTCAGCTCAATCAGGAGAGAAATGAAGTAGATTTTGATTTATAAATAAGATATATCTTGGATTCCCTGGCAAATGTCATTGGGCGGTCTTTGCAGGACAATCGCGGGGCGACGATTCTCCTTACACTCTCGGCCCAACAATGGAGCGACGTCGTTCGGGCCACTCGGAATTTCGGATTTATGGCGAGGAGCATATTCCATACGGCAGCGTCCAAGAAGCGTACCGTACGCCCGCAATTCCCCCATAAATTCGAAAATCTCGAGAGTCGCGCCGGATACTCCCAGAGGGATCGCCGGTCGATCCTATTACCGGGCCACAGGATTAAGCCCGATGTACGGAAGATCGCCCCGGACGATCGCCAACTAACTTCCGCGTTATCCTCTCGTCCGCCGACCGTTTTTCCCGCAGCAGCCGAGACCCGACGTGGTAGCGCGGCGGTGCGGCGCGGTCGAAAGTGAGACGACGACGACGCGATACGCCGGCGAGTCCGAGAGGGACGGACGCGCGGCAGCCTCCGTCCGCGCTCCTCCGAACGGAGCGTATTTCGCCAATTTCGTTAGCGCCCGCACGGACGCGCGAGCGCACTCCCACCCTCTGCCGCGCGCGTATACACGTACACATATACGCGCATCGGCGCATACGAAACATACACGCGTATACACACACACGGCAAGGGTGGAAGTGAGAAGCGCGTACGTACGGAACGCACCGAAAGAGAGAGGCGGTCCTCTCGCGCTAGAAAGAGAGAGAGAGAGAGAGACGGAAGATTTTGCAGCGATCATCGACTTGGAGAACGGCGCAGTCGCCCAGGAACCAACTCGAACTCACTCACCCTGCCCTCCCCCGCCGTCCGTCCGTCCGTCCTCCTCCTCCTCCACCTCTTCCTGCTCCCCCAAACCCCCTCGACCTCTCTGCCCGATCATTCCATCCTCCTCTCGCGCTCTTTCCGCCCCGCGCTGCCAGGTGGTCTTCCGCCCTCCTCGAGCGCCGCCGCCACCATCGGCACAACCACCACCACCGCCAGAACCACTGCCATCACCTCCACCACCACCAGCACCACAGTCAGCAGCGGTACCAGCAGCAGCAGCAGTAGCAGTAGCGGTAGCAGCAGCAGCAGCAGCAGCAGTACTGCCGTCGCTACCACCTCCTCGACTTGGTCGCATCTCTCTCTCTCTCTCTTTTTCTCTCCCTCTCTCCCTCTGTCTCTCCTCCCTCTCCCTCATACGTCGGCGTTACACCCCCCCGTCCCTCTCGACTCGCCGCACCAACCCTCTCGCGTGCGCCTCGGCGCCTCGTTCTCCTCCGGTGCCGATGCCGCAGTACTGACTGCTTTCCGCGGAAGGTGGAAACCCGTGTAACGCGGCCGTATATAGATTTTCAATTAGTCAAGGGTCGGCCGTGGAGGAAATTATGTGTCGCGTGTCGCCGCGAGTCGCCGCGAGTACTTGAAAGATCCGTCGCCGCCACCGCTGGCCGTCGTTAAACACCGTGCTCTTTGGATATTGCTATTTAACCGGACGCAATTCTCGTTGCGCGCGCGAGTGGCGAAACCGCGTGCGTACCCTCTTGCGCGCGGGGTACCGCGTCGCGTCGCGTCGCGTTGCGTCGCGCGCGTGTTGCGTTACAATCGGCCAACGTGGAAAGATCGATTTTTCATCGGCGACTCTCCAACGCATTCGGAGCACTCGGGAGAGAAGAAAAATAAAAGCGAAAGAGAGAGAAAGCGCGTATACGAGGGTTCGACGCGATCAAGTGTTTACCAGGATCACGTTGTGGACTCGATCCTTCCCCCTCTCCCCCTCCCCCGCCGCCCTATGTGAGGAGCGATGACGACTTGTCGCCAGTGACGACGGTCGCGGGAGTTAGGAGATAGGTCGATCTCCTCCGTCTCTGCCACGTCGCGTTGCGCTGCGCTACGCCGCGCCGCGCCGAGCGCATCATCATCGCGGAGCATCCCTGGCGATCTTGGAGAACCAGGATCACCCGCGGGAGCGAGGATGTTGCGCGCGGCCTTCGCCGTCCTACTGCCCCGGCTCCTCGTATTGTTGTCGCTGCTGATCCATTCAGGTACACGATCGGTCATATTTCTCAGATAAAGTACAATATATTACACAGCGAGACGCGGATTGAGAGAGAGAGAGACGGATTTGTCGCGTCAAGTATATTTCAAAGCGTGCTCCGTTCTTCTCGAGTAAACGTACATAAAAGTTTTACAATCGAATAAAACGACGTTCTGTTAACGTCTCGGAGTGGATTTTTAACATCAAAATCTAAAAAAGGGCGAGAGAGAGAGAGAGGGAGAGAGAAAGGGGGAAGATAGAATAGTATATAGTCAGTCGTGCAAATATCTTGAGATCTGATGATGATTAATAAGAATGATGAACTACATGCTGAAAGATTTTAAAACACATAGAAATATATTTATATAAATTGAAGATTTATATTGTATCATATACGATTTGAAGAACTTTCAGTGGAGCTGTAGAAGATTTCATTACAAATATACACAATGTTCTTTGGTCGTCCAGAGAAGACGCGCGGTTGCCAGGGCGAATCGGCGTCGGTATGACAATAACGAATCTATGTGAATAGAGCCTTTATAAGGCTCGAAAATCCATTTTTTGGCATGCGTGCGCGCGTTTGACGTGCCAGGCATATTTTTGATTGTTCCGTTTAAGTTCAATAGCATGAATCGCTTACTGATTTGCGAATTAAAGTGGCCGCGTGAAGAATAATTTGAGCTATTTCGTTGGGCGCACATTATACGACGGCGTTCATTATATGACAAGCGAATTAGTAAATTAACGAACTCGCTAATGTCCGACGCAAATTTCGCAATTATCTTGAAATCGCCCGATTAAATCGCCGACAAAGAGGGCTCGGGTATGCATGTATATATTGACAAATGCATACAAATGCCTTGTGTACGGCTCGTCTAGCTTGCTCGCGCGCGACAAAATGCAACGTGACATGGAGGAATAAAAACCAGAAGAATAAAAGCTAGACGAATAAAAGCTAGTACACAAAGCGCCATGCATTTATGTATATCCATGCAAAGCGCCGGAAATAACAATATCTAGTCGCGTATACGAAAATACGGGGGGAAACCTCTTCGATCGCGATAAACAAAAATTCGCGAGTCGCGATATAATTGAATTACGCCAAAGTTATCGGCCAACAGAGAATCGCGAAGAGTCAAATGGAATTTAAATGGTTGCGTCTCGGTTTACATAGCGACGAGTTCGCCGAATTATTTTCGTTCAGCTCCAGAATAAATTGGAATAACACAGCCAGCCCAGAAAAATCCCTGAATCTCCTGTACCATTCCGGGGGCTTCTTCTTTCGCATTATATCGTCGAATCGAAGCCGCGCGCGGTGTGTTTCGCTTCGAAATTAGTTCGCTGATTTAACTCTCCGTCTGGGCGTCTGGTATCGAGCGCATTTTTAGTATCCACGACGAAACTTTGTTTTATAAGTTCGTACTTAATTAAAACATTCGCCGTGCGATCGCGAGGCACGGCCGCCGTCTTTACCTATGAAATAGTGAGTTTGTGGAGTGTATAACTACTGTTTGCGAATCGGTCGAGATAATGGAACGGTCGGCGGCGGCGGCGGCAGCTTCGAACGAACCATTGTCGTTCGGGAACGGCGAGGTTGCCCTTTCACCACGCTTCGCTGTTACGCATCGATCGCCATAAACAAAATTCCGAGATTGTCACTAAAGAAATTACGAAATCTCCCCTCGGTCGTTTTCAGCCTTCAGTTCGCCCGCGCGTTCATCGAACTCTCGACATGCCCTGAGAGATTGAAATTAGTTCGCCGTTTTACCCCAATTCTCTTTTGACGATCGTATTTTTAGCAGGCCGCCGCGCCGATATTTTCCTACAATCTGTTAATTTATTCAACACGGTCGACCAGCCGCGACCGCGTCTTCGCGTATGCAGCGGCGAGTTTGCGGAGGGTAAACTAAGCGTTTGTAAATCGACGGACGGGGGCGGAGGTAATGGGACGATCGACAGCTTCAAACAGCGATTATCGTTCGAAAATTACCCCCTTCAGTTCGCAACTATACACCGCGGGCCGTGGCCAGAATAAACCTGTGCGATTTAGCCGGCCGGCCGCCCGCTAAACGCACGCTGTCACGTGACGTACGCGTATAAATGTAATTAAAATTTCTAAGAACGTCACCGCGGCTACGTGTTATTTATAACGGCCAATTACCGTGCCCTCGCCACATTTGTCTTATTGCAATATGCATGCTGAAATTATGCCATTTTGGAAGCGCGCCGAACTGCCGCGTATTCCGAGCCGCACATTTGCAAATTATTATTATTATTATCGTGTTTGCGAGAATTAACATATCGCGACTGCGCACACTTTTCAACGATACGCGTGACCGGTTATCGGATGACTGGGCTATTCGTACAAATGTTTTCGCTGCATTATACATTCCGAAATTTACATATCGAGTATTCGCGGGAAAATATCTCCTATCTATCTGTTGATAACTATTTTAAAGAGGAAAGTGTAATTGTTAGAATTTATCGCAGAACGACGGTAATATTTGATCTTGAGGAGTGGAAAAAACATCATAAATATATATAAACTATATAGCTATATTCAGGACGTAATATCCTCGAATAAAAATAACAGGATATCTGTTATTCATTACGACGACCTGGCGTTCTTAATTTCGGAAAGCGCCGCCGAGAGCGGAAACAGCGAATCGAATATTTATAAATTAACCCTCATTTCACCCTCAGACTCTCCGCTCGCGCGGGGAAACGTTCCCGAAATTCTTCCTGAAATCCACGTATAAGTAGCGAGCCTAAAATAACGACGATAGTAAAAAACAAAAAATAACGCGCATTTGCATCCCCTGGCCAACAAGCGTCACGAATTATTCAAAGTATTTCATACCGAGGCGAATCGCGGAAATTTTATTCGCACGGTAGCAGTGGCGAGAGAGAGAGAGAGAGAAAGAGAGAGAAAGAAAAAAGCAACCCATGCGTTTAACCCCCAACGTGCGCCTCGTTAAATGCATAAACTCGCCCCGCATTAGCGCGCGTGGGCGACGTGGCGTAAAAATGTCAGAACGGCCGATATCGCGCTACGACAATTAAAGTGCCTGAATTCTCCGGGACAGTTGCGGAAGAGCGTCGGCGGCCGCGGCGGCGGCGGCACTTAGCCATCGACCGGTCAACGCGAGCGGACCCGATTTCAAAGTTAAATCGAGTTTGAACTTTGAACCGCGGTCGCAGCGCTGGAACCAAAGCCCGATGGCAAAGTGTGTGGGGCTGAGAGTTAACGCACGCCGCGCTATCGCGGCTCGCCGGTCGAAACCGAAAGAACACGACTTCTCGCTTATCGTCATCGCTTCGCGGGGACGGGGGTTTCCTTTCCGTTAAATACGACGACGTGTCTCTTCGAGAACACTTTTCAATCGGAAACCAGTCGTTGATGATGACGCGGCTGCGTAAAGCAATCTGCGTTACGACGTCTCGTACGCGGGGATTTCGTTCGGGATCGGTGGATATAGCGTCTGCGAAACTGTATTACAATGGTTCGTTAACCCAAGTACCATAATTGGCTCAATTTCCAATAAAGCCCCGGCGAACGGCGCGGCGCGGCGGGGCTCTCACTGTACGACTCCGTTTAAATAAAACAATACCACGCACACCGACACTTTGCCCTTCCCCGCACTTCTCTCCCCTCATCCCGCTTCGTTTTCGTCTCCCCCGTCGCTCGATGAATCTCCATGCAAAACAGTAATCAAAGATACTACATTTTTTATCGCGCGCACCGCGCGCAACGTCGCGCATAATTTAATATATAAAACGTCCGGCGAACTTAATTATGTTCGGACGAGATTTATTAGCTTGTCACAAGTGTCTCGTCATTCCTCGCGCAGAACCGACAGTTTTCAATAAAGTATAAAAATAGAAATTGATTCATGGAATCGCGCGGATTTTTACAATTTCACGCCAAGACCGATATACTCTTATAAAAGCCCTTACAAAAGCTCAGTTCCATCAAGTTTAAGAGGGGAATTGATTAATAAATTCATTTATTTAATTTAATCCCTTTTCTGTTACAGATGAATCTGACTTTATGCGAAGCTCGATAAGATTAAATTTTATACCATTATCAATGTAGAATCTTGTTCAGCTGTGATAATCTCCATTTCTCTTGCTAAATGAATTTTTCCGTCTATATTCGTTTTATTTGCTCGCTTTATCCAAAGATGACGGTCGCATAAATCGATAGCGGATGTCGTAGACAGGAGATGATGGCGGACGGGGCTTTGTTTAATAATTGTCTCATAATCTTGAATCTCCACGGTACGTGATCACGCACGTCGCCCGTACTCGCCCGTTGTCGGAAGATAACAAAGCGAGCGCGTTGTATTTTTTATTCCCGCGCCGTTATACGCGCGCGCGCTGTTTCGCATGCGGTGAGTTTTAAAGCGAGAGCCCCCGCGTGTCGTCAAAATAAACAAAATCACTTGTCGAGGTAATTCTGCTTATCACTCTTCCTGCATGCGCCACGGCAGGTTTACGATATGACCGTAAATAAATAAAAAAAAAAAGGAGCAAGATATGTGTACACATATATGTGGTAAAGATAAAAGGGGTACGATGCACACGTCGAACATCGATGCGTGCCCGTTTTCCAGTTCGGTCGTTGTTCTTCGTGCTCGACGATACGGCGCGTGACGGCGCAGCGACTAAGTACACTCTTCGCATATTTTTTCCAGTTTCGGGCTTATTTTACGGCCGGGGCAATTTGCCTCCAGAAGGCAGTAAATTCTTTTATCTGTCCGACCATTCCCCTACCTCCGCCGCCTCTAATTTCATATTATTCGAGCGCGAAAAACGCGAAAAAATATTGTGATGCCCCGGATAAGGAGTGCATGTACCGTTTAACACGCCCATTTGCCCGAATGATTAACACTGCCGCGTCCACGTGTCCCCTCGCGGGCATGCTTTTTCTACGTTTTATTGTGATGTAAACATATAATTTTATAGCCGCTGTTCTCCAGCTCGTGCCCATATTCTTGATTTCAGTTATTTTATTTTTGACACCGCCACCGTGTCGTTTGTTAAGCGTAATAATAAAACGAAGGAAAAAATTATCCAGACCTCAAAACTGGATTTTTGAGAGCGTCATAGAAAAAAAAGATATTCTTGAAGAGTTTGTGAAATCGTGTAAAAATGTCTTGCGAACAATCATTCAACAAGCCTCTTTCTCAACAAGTAAAGAGGATACGAGCAAAAAGATTTATATATGCATCGGATATAATCGGATTATCGCTATAGTATGTGTTTTATTTAGCTCGAGAGGATTCTCAGTACAACGGTGAAACGTTGCGCGCGGCGTATAACTTGTTCCTTTTCGCGGGCCATTAATTACACACGCGAAGCAAATCTATCGGAAAGCATTATCATCGCGGCACGTCAAAATTATGTACTTACCCGGGCATCCCGCTGTTCGCGCCGCTGTGCCGTGATTAATTACGGCAACTCGATCGTTTTATCACTTTTTCCGCTCGTCGGGAAGCGTTATACCGCGTAACGTTATACGAAGCCGTCCGCGGGACTCGACCATGTCCGCGCCTTACGGTGAAACACGTAATTACGCCTTCTTTTCGCCTCGTTATCCGAGTAACCGATTTATCTTTTATCCCGTCCTTCAGATTCACCGTTTGCCTTCACTTTGACTTAACGCCGTTTTTCGAGACGCCTGTATTGTATTCCCCGCAACGCGTACCCATTCATACACGGATCGCTGACTTTAGCAGATTCTTTTCCTCGGTTGAGCCCTTATTACACGGGAAATTCCAATATTTGTGTGCTTGAGCAGGGAAAACAGCGCGCACGGTCGGAGCCACGCGCTATCATAGCGCGAGCGAGTGAGCAGATAAAATAATAAGGCAACAGCAACGATCGTGACTCCTCCTCTCCTCTCCTCTCCTCTTCTTCCTTCCTTTCTTCCTTCCTGTTCTACATACCGAGAGATCCCACTGATATACATACGTCGAATTTTCCCCTACCCCTTTATTACGAGATCGCAACGAATTTAATTTGTATATAGCTGTGTGACGCGCCGTATCCATGCCGGATATTAAAATAATCACGCGCTCGAATAGACTAATAATACATAATGTGAGTAATAATGGGACTAATGCGGCATATGCATTTCAATTACAAATATTTCCCCGCGCATGCCGAAACATCACGGTCGCGGGGATATGCGGGTTTCGAGTGCGTTTCGATAATTTTGGCGGATCGGCCATTTAAATAATTCCCGCTCTCTCGTGACTCGTTTTCCCGCGAGATAAATGTACACGCAAAGTGTCCTAATATAGATTCGAAATGACTATTTAATAAACGTGACTGATTATCAGCAGCGTGAATTAGCGTTGTGCCGACGGGTACAAGCCCATTTAAATAAACACATAAATCTAACGGGCTACGTGTACCTACATGTATACATTCCTCCGTCTATTCCGAGCATCACGCAACGGCGGGATTTCCTAAAATCTGGAAGTCTCCGGAGGTGTAGTTACGGAGTAACACCCCGCTCTCCGTTGAGAGCGAACAAATTTATAATCTCGCCGATACATACAGCAGCGGGATTAATCCTCGCATTTACAGCCTGATTTACAGTGCCAAATCACGCGCGCGCGTGCGCGAGTGCTGCACCACGGGGGCTTTCGGGCTCATTTGGATGGATCCAGCGCGCGTTGACGGACGAATAAGTGGATGAATAAATATCTCACTCACCCCGGGTACCCGTTGTCCGCATCCTCGTCGTCGTCGGCGACGCTGTCTGCCTCCGCCGTCGTCGTCTTCGTCGCCGTTACTCTGTCGCGTGATATCCTCCTTGTCCCGTCTACGCCTCCCCAATCGCGTTTAATTAAATCGACCGTGTCCGCGTCCGTCACGAGCACGTGCTAACAAACGCGCCGTGTCACGTCGCCTGGTCAGCGTGGGCGAAAGCGCCGGCGTCGCTCTCGATGGGCTAAAAAGATACAAGCCGGTAATGGTAAATGTTTCATTAGCGCGAGCGAGGCAAATTTGCAGAGTGCGGAGGTAATATCGTGGGATGGGGGATCGCGATAACGCGCACACGTAAACGGGCACGCGTGTACGCACGCACGTACGCACACACGTCGTCGTGTGCGACATCGTCGTCGTCGGGACGTCGTCGGGAGAAGCCGCGACAATCGTCGCCCGCTTTTATCCAATTTATTTCCCGCGCGTGCCCGTGCGGCTTAAACGCCCACGCAGCTCTGTATTTACATGCGCGAGGAAGCTCCGGAGAGATTTGTTTGCGTGTCTTAGGGCAAGGCGGTCGAGACTCGAGACCCTCTCGCGCCCTTGCGGGACGTGTATCTCACGCGCTATGAAACCGCGTAAATAAAATCGTGCAACATCGCGCGTCCTTTTTCTCCCTCTCTCCCCTCGTATGTAGAGGAGATGGATGAGGAAGAAGATAAATCAGGGAACGGCGGGTTTTCACTCGAGCGCAGGTACGCCCGCGAAATGCCGAACCGAGAGAAACGCTGTTTATTTAGACGCGGTGATTTCGTTTCGCGGCGCGTTAAAATCTTTCAAGTTATGGTCGACTGAATATGGAGCGTCTTACGCGATAACGATGGAAGAGGTTCTAACCGCGTTTCTCGTGCTTTCGCATTAATATCGAAATTTTGCCCGATGAACAGCAGGCTAACGTCTGTATAGAACGTCCCTCGCGGTCTCAAAGAGGTTCGTTAGTTCCCCCGATTCAATAGCGGACGAAAAATAAACGAGTCGCCGCCGGATGCTTAAGGGTTTCACGATAGACGGAAATCGATTTTGGAACTCCGAGAGATTAACAATTCAATCGACTTCGCGATTGCTACCGCGCTACGCAATCGTTTCGCTCCGAGAGGGAACAGGGTAATTTCAGAAATTGTTTACTCTTTCGGTTTGCGCGGAAAATTAGGTATCGCCAGCTATCAGTAATCTAAACTCAATTAAATATAAAGTAAAATGGAAAAGTGGAAAAGTGGAACTGCATTTCCACGTGCGTACGTTACACGGCTACAAACAAATGCCTATTGCTGGATGAAAAATACGAAAAGCCAGCGCGGAACGGTTATGAAGAATCGTGTAACAGCGAGCCAACAAGTGACGTAAACAATTCGAAACAATCAGCTATTTGTAACACAAAAGATGAACAACCATCTATTCAGTTTATTGTTATACCATTTCACTTTCGTGGCCGTACGTTCCATATTTTACTCCGTGCAGCTATTTTTTTTCTATATATTTAATCACTTTGTTGCCAATCAACAACGCGACGTATTCGAGAGTCAAATAAAAACTATTGATAGCGAATCAACAATAACGCACAATTGCTTTATCACCCGTTGAAGGATAAAAAAAATTTTTCAAATGACAGGAAGAGCATCTGTTGAAATCACACGACGATATCAGCGAGCGTATTATTTTGACATCGCGATATTTCACCGGTATACGATAATTAGCATAGCGTCACGTACACACGTCCGTCCGTCCGTCCGTCGGTTACGCAAAAATGTTCCCGCGTCACCGCGCGATAACCGACTCCTCGTTTTTCGCTCTATCATTTCGCGTTGAGCGTGGGATTTAAATTCAGGGGTGCAGATATTAACCGGTAAAATCGACCGAGGACGTCGTGCATATTTCACTCCGCGTTATCGGCTCGCGGTGCTTTAGGAAAATAACAAGGCAACATACGGCGAGGATCAATTATCGGGTTCAAGGAGCAGCAACAGCAGCAGCAGCGGCGGCGGCGGCGGCAGCAGCAGCATCGGGAACAGCACCGCGGGCCACCGGTATTGAATTTATCGCAGCAGCTTATTTCCGCCAGTTGAAAGGAATATTTATACGGGCGCGGGCTAATTTATCTCGCAAGGCGTTTTATCGGCTATGCTCGATCGGACATTCGTGAGCGGTTTTTATTTCCCTCCAACCCCTTTCCCACCCATCCGGCACGAGCGATACCTACAAAGTGACTTTCAAATACGATCTCGACAAGATCGCGTATACGAATGGCAATCGAGAAAGTGAAACACGATGGACACGAAACGATCGGACACGCGACGACGACGATCAGATATCTGTCTGTATTTGTATGCCTGATGAGAGAAATTATAGGTGTGTCAAAGAGCCTGTACTTAAAATTTTAAGCACGCATATCGACAATAAAATTTTACTCAATTTAAACTTTAAACCTCGATCGATGTCTCACAAGATATCTCATTTTAATTGAGGCTTGATACGCAACTCAACATGGAGATTACTAATTGTAAGTTATGAGAAGATTTAGAGGCCTAACGACGGGTTACATGAAAAATCTACTGCAACCTTGGCCCTTACTATATGAAATAAGGACCGGCAAGTTCTCGCGGTACACAGTTCGCCACCATATTTCTTCCCGTATATACCGCGCGGATACGTCGGTGCTTTAACTTGAGCCATTTCTCGAGAAGGTAACGCTTCGTTGAGTAACGATTTTTTCACGCTCCGGCGAAAAAACACACGACCAGATGGTCGATCCAATAAATCTCTCGTTGCCGACAGTCCTTCGTACTCTTTTAACTTATCCGCCGCTCGCATCCGTATCAATTTGCGGGCGACAGCGAATAACGAATACTACGATCTTCCGCGGACTACTCGGAAGCTATCGGGGGGGAAAAAAAAAAAGAAAAATTCTGACCACTAATTTGCGTGAAGTGTGCAATGCAACTGCATCTCTGAACCTGTTAAAAAAAAAAGATCGCACTGGATTCTCCAGGTTCTTAGTGTACAGCCCTCACGACCGGCGTCATGAATTTCACGCGCAAAAGTAATGAAGAACAATGTTGGCCACGTACGCGCGCGAGCCATAAATATTCAGTTCGTTGCTGCGCGCGAACATTTTAACCCTCTGCTGATCACGCGGCGGGGTGTATATTTTGACGTCCGGGATTATACGGTGAGCTGCATTGAGCACAACCGGTCACCGAAGGCCCGATTAAATATTCATACGCCTGGTAATTGCCCGATCTGCGATTCGAAATTGTCTCGGGGATAGAAAGAGAGAAAAAATAAAACGTGCACGTTCCCCCGTGCGGATAATGTGCTCGATAGGTTTATGATCTTTGCGACTTTCAACCGAGGGATCATTATCGTCAAAGGGATTTCGACGTTTGACGAATGAATTAAATTATGATAATACTGTTTTTCTCAAACATTTCCCATTACATTGAATTATTTCAAAAATAGCTTGCCGCCGCCGTATTTCGCAGCACTCTGTTTTGTTTTCGCAAACAGTTTTGTAAACAATATGCAGAATGAGTAAATATTGACAAGTACGTGGAAGAAATTCAAATAATTGCGAACCAATATGCAACGGCCTGTTATCATTGTCCAAATCTTCAACATTCTTTATGAATTGCGGGAGTTGAAATATTTAATTACAGAATTCAATTTTTAATTTATTTTCAACTTCATCCTTTTACAAACAAAGGATTTTAATTATAAGTATTTAATTATAAAAGCTTTTTAATTAAATTATTCTAATTAATTATTTTAAATAATAAATCTGATTCGAGCTAACATCATATTGATATAGTGAGAATTTTCACATTTGCGCTAAACTGAGCAAAAATAATATTAAATGAAAGACATGAGCGAATTAGTTCAGCTTTAAGAGATTCTCATTTGTATATTTAATAACACGTCAGTGCATATTTTAGGACACAGTCGAGGAGATTTAACTAAATTAAATAAAGATATTGGGAAATTAAACATTACTTGTTGAAATTTAATGCATAATGCCCTCCTAAACATTCGAAGAATCCGCGACACTAAAGTTTGTTCACGGCGTACAATACGGTCGCATTCTATTCCGCCACCTAACACCATCATTTCGCTCGCGGTATAAACGAAATGGCGGGAAATAAAACGCCTTTTCAGATCCCTTTATCTCGTTAATCTTGTCACGCTTTACGCCTTCGAGATATAAAGCATAACAGGAGGAAGAAGAGAGACGGAGAGAGAGAGAGAGAAACGGGAGAAAGCGATAGAAGAGGTGCTTATTGCGCGTTGAATCTTTCCCCTTCGGTTACAAACATACCTACCGTTCAAACTTGACAATGTCAAGACCGATAAATAAGACTCGCAATCTTTCCCGCCAGTCAAGGCACAATGGGAGCAAAAAATCGCAAGGCGTATCAGGTGCGGGACAAGATTGCAACAGGGAAACTTACACCTGGTGCGCTTGGAAATTCGACTCCGGTTTACCCCGACGTGGTCAGACACGGATATTTTCCCGATATTTTTCCGGATTTTCTCCGCAGTACTCCCTCGTAAGCGCGCACGTTCGCGAGACGAAACAAATGTGTCGGACGTATTGACGTATGTATATATACGAATGACTAATTCCTAATTCTTTTAGTTATGAATAAACGAATCTAAAATGAGGGGGGATGTTCTTCTGAAATGATTTAGATAATGAAAGGTGGAAAGGTTTTCTTTTCCGAAAAAAACCGCGATTTATTGCCAGCTATCTTTCAGTGGAATGCACCCATGGATATAAATTCGACTCTCGCCGGAAAAATATTTATTTTGAATGCGCAAAAAAATCCGAACAATTTGCACCGATGCGAGTTACGAATGACATCGCTAGTACGGCCGTTCACATTAAAGTGATTAAAGTAACTTGTTCGTTCGTGTCTGATCGCGCTCATTCGTTTGATCTGGATATGGTTTTACACGCATTACGAGTGCCTGGACGAGGACCACTGGAGACATGAAAGAAAAAATTAATTACCTCTAATAAGAGTGTTCGCCGCGTATACGAGCGGCACTAATAGCGATGCCCGGACCTGCGATACGTCGCGTTGCGTGACCCCGATGATTATCGAATCAATGACAATAACGCGTGCATGTGCAACGCGCGCGCGAATAGCCGCGATAAGGGCCGGGCGATATATAAACGGCAATCTCATCCCGCTGGTTCACTCATTAGCGGACTTAATTTAAGACACCACCGTCGGAATTTTAAACGCGCGCAAACATGACGCGATTTAACGTAATCATCGAGTCGCGGTTCGCCTCGGCGCGTGGGACTAATTAATGACACGGGTGTGTTGTGTCGGTGAAAGCAAAGCATCATCACTCGTCTCCCTTTTCCCCCTCCCCGATTGTATTATTTTACAAAAGCGACCGAGATGATTAGAAGGCACGTGTGTGCGGAAAGAATTTCGGCAAGCGTATCTCGTGCGCGTCCTGCTTCATTACTGCGCAACGCGCTCGACCACAATTACGCCATGGAGTGCCTGGATGTTTGCAATTCGGCTGTAACAAACTTTGTACACAGAACGATCCGGACGTTTCTCCCCCTCCAAAAAAATTCCGGTAAACCCGCGTTCGATTTTTTTCTTCGCGAAAATTGGCCCGAAAGCCAGACCATGTTACCAGCTTTCAATTTGCGTACGTGTCTTGCAAATCGCGGTTCAAAAATTAAACTCCTTTTCAATTAAAATCCGCGAAAACTCGGCCGCGAGCAAGATACCTATCCAGAAATGAAAAATTTTTCAATTAAAAAAAATCGGCATTTTTTTTTTCGATTGGGATACCGCTATTTAACGACTGAAAGATCGCCAGTCTGGCTCATATAATGTGCCATGTATTCGTGTAACAGAGCCCGTATGTTTAAAGCTTCGCTATACGTCTTAGGGATATAAGAAAAGAAACATGCGCGGGGAACTGCATTGTCGAAGAAATTTCAACATCTCAAGGGCCATTGCAATTTTAAAGCAGCATACGTGAACCCACGTCCGACGCGGTTCTTCGTTTATCAATTATTCCACGAAGTCGATATCGAAGTCACGGCGCCTTTCAGCTCGTCGACATGCAATCGCGGGTCTAGGAAGAACATCACTCGGTTCTATTAGATCAATTCATTTTAGCTGTGTTTCCTGATGCTCTACACTTCGTCGTAGAAACTCAAGTACACTACCACTCATAAAAATAGAGAATGCAAAATGTATAACAAAAATATGTCTGTAAAGGAATACATTTTTGATACCTTGGCTTTCCGAATGACACATCAGATGGTTCCGAGATGCAGATATTATTCTTATTAAGCATACAGAGAGAGAGAGAGAGAGGGTGTATGAATCACATTGTATGATTCAAAAGGCGCTCATTACAATGAATCACGTGTGACTCACTGTCGGCAAACTTTGCTGTACTCATTTACGCATATACGAATATTATCGTCGAATTGATCGCGCGTCGCGTGCAACGTTGAAGATTGAAACTGCTGCAACTCGGGGTAACATCGCGATCGTGATGGCGAAAAGCTCGCGGAAATGTCCGTCTCTTTCTCTTTCGCCGAGCGTCACGGGCCCCACGTGAATTCAAGCAAGTTTCCCACGCAGCTGCAACTGCAGCTGTGCGGGGTTGGAAACGGGGGCGGTGGGCGGGGGAGGGGAGCTCTAGATCCCGCAGGGTCCACTTGCGCGCCGCGCAATCCTCCCGCAAACTACAATCCGAAATCTTTTGCAGGCGTCGTCGTCGTCGTCGTCGTCGCCCTACGCATGACGTCTCTGCAGATACCGGAGCACGTCGTGCTGAATGAGACGGTGCGCATGCAGTGCAACTTCAACTTGGACAAAGAGCAATTGTACTCCGTGAAGTGGTACAAGGACGGCCACGAATTTTATCGCTATACGCCCCGAGATGCGCCCACGGTGCTAACGTTCTCGGTGCCGGGCGTAAACGTAAACGTGAGTGCGAGTTTGCGCGAGGACTGGGGATGCTTATAGAATAGCAGCGCGCGCGGAATAGAGTCCTGATCTTCTTCCACTCGATAGCGAGAACAATCGGTCTTCACCACAACGTATCCTCTTACGGAGAACGTAATATTCTGGCGTTTATATTAATTGGGGTATTTTAGGTGCTTCGCAGCTCGAACATTTATCGGGCGACGCGAACGGATAGAAATAACGATCCTTCGTAATATTTAAGAATCTCCGGTGATGCAATATTTATTCCGTCACTTTAACGTTTAAGCACGGACTGACGACGAGCGCGAAGCTATATACGCGATAGCGAGAACGGTCGGTCTTCAGCAATGTATCCTCTTACGAAACGTAATATTCTGACGTTTATATTAATTGGAGTGTTTGAGATACTCGGGTCGAATATTTATCGGATAACGGACGGACAGAAATATCGACCCTTTGTAAAATTTAAGCATCTCTAGTGACGCAATATTCATTCTGCCACTTTAATGTTTAATTCGGATTAACGACGAGAGCGGAGCCGCGCGATGCTCGAACGTGAAGGGAAGAGGAGCGGTCTTTTTAATTAATTTATTTTTTTTCCGTCTGCGTTTTCTTTTTTAAACTAGAAGCACAATCCACTTTGTATATCCCTTACGACGCGAGGAGCTTTTTCCTCGAATCTGATAGAATCTGGTACGTTCGCTGCATCGGCGCGTTGTGCATCGCGCAGGCCCCGCAGCGTCACGCTCGATCGGGCGCAGCAGCTTGTAATCGCGAATTTGCATTCAGAGGGACGAGTCCACCGAGAGTTCGGTTGTCCTGAACAACGTGAATCTGACGAGTTCGGGGAGGTATCGGTGCGAGGTGTCGGGCGAAGCTCCCGCCTTTGAGACGGTCTCTGATCACGGGGACATGACTGTAGTCGGTAAGTATGTATTGTCATGGAAAATAAGAGCGAACGTGTCCGATTAAGCTGGGATTGTAGCGAAAATTCTGAAAAACCGCGATAAACAAAGAGAATAGAAATCTATACAAATAATTTGTAAGATACACGCGGAGGAAATTTTTATCCTTAAAATGAAAAAAAAAAACTGCGTTGGAGCGCGATGGTTATTTCAAAACGTAATTTTGAGAGAGGCGAAACTAGATAAATAAATACCTATACAGTAAATGCACGCGGTAAGATAAGGGTAATCTAATCCGAGGGTCCACGACAATAGCACTAGAAAGGGTCATGGCAACGTTTCAGTTCTACCTAACGAAGGACCGCAGATAACCGGTGGTCGTTCCAAATATCAGGTGGGCGATGTCGTTCGCATGAACTGCACGTCGGCACCTTCTAAACCACCTGCGCTATTGTCCTGGTTCATCAACGACGAGCCGGTAAGTGAGACACTTAAATCGTCGGCGAAATAATTGTAACCTTTGTTTCACGCTTCGCTAAACTTTTCTGACCGACGCGATGAAATGTGTGCTCAAAAGGAAAGAGAAAAATGAAAAAGGAGAGGCAAGAGAGAGAAAGAGAGAGAGAAAGAGAGGAAGAAATGGAGCACAACGGAGCTGCGGTATATGCAGTATATGCAATTTGCTAAATAAATCAAAGCTTCGTTCCGCTCTGTTTCCATCACAAAGACGCGTACGCGCGCGTTGCGCGTGTCCACACATTTGCGTTAATCTCGAAAAATATTCCCCGATAATGTTCTAATTTAAAATTTATTTTGATAAAACACCAGTCACCGGTTACCAATTAAAGGCGAAACGTCGACTGTCTCTCGCGTCAACATTGGATATCGATCCGAAATCCATGACGTTTATGTATTTTCCATTTATCCGAGCCCATTTATGTGTCGTTAATATTTACGGAACTGCGACTTTTTTTTTTCTTTCTTTAGAAAATTCGTTACCGCCGTTATATTCCAGCGAAATTTTCCGCCCCGCGGACGCGTATAGCTTAACCGAATTAAAGATTTAACTTTAAAATAACTTTACCTCCACAGTGCGCGCGCGCGTTGCTGATGATGAATGTTATTATCATTATCGTGCGATAATTAGAATCTTGCTTCGGTGCTTCATCCAATTTCGCGTAATTGGTTTCACGAAAAAAATTTGCATCCGGGATCAAAAGAGCGCAATCTCTCGTTCTTAATTGTTTTCAAATTGCATTCTACAGAATCGCGTATCTGTTTTTCATCTCCCGCCCGCCTAATTGGTGTCCGTCGACGCGACGCTGCGTAATCCGGGTCGCGAGGTCTACGTCCCAAATAAAAATCTACTTAATTGCTCGGCCCTCAATCTCTTCCTCTCTCTCTCTTTCTCTCCCACCCCCGCGGACTCGTCGCGAATCACTCACGCGGAATGTGTCCCGGTTTCCCGGTTTTCCCCGTTGAAAACAGTCTTCACAGGAATCGTTGTAAAGACGCGCGCCCGGCTTTCAGGCCAACACCGACTACCTGATAGGGCCCAATATCGTCAACGTGGAGAACGGTCTGCAGACCGCGAGACTCGGTCTGAAATTCCACGTCGCGAACAAGCACTTCAGGCGAGGCGACATGAAGCTAAAGTGCTTGGCCACAATAGCCACGGTCTATCTACAGAGCAACGAGGAGAGCGTGGAGGGCGACGAGAGCATTCTGAAAACGCCTATAATGGAGAGCCGCGAGACCCGGGCGCAGAGCCACACTCGCGAGGACTTGACGAACGGTAAGCCCTCAACCTTCTCCCCCTTCTCTTGGATATCACCCGTTACTTTCCTACCTAACCACCGCAATTGCGCAACGTTCACCCGTTATCGATTAACCCGCCCGAATGCTGAATTCAACTTTTGCCTTGTCAGAAAGTTGGTGGCGCAAGTTAAAATAATTAAGGTCCAGTTGCGCCGACATTGATTATTGGTATAACTGGTAATTAGCGGATTCGTATAGCTAGTCCTGTAGTTTCGTTACGAGGGATAACCTATGTTCAATTAAAAAGTTACTTTGCCTCCCGCCGTTATACACTTCTCCGTGTCACTTTCTCTCGTAACTCGTAACGTTCTCTCTGACACGCTCGCGATTTTTTAAAAACCCTTCGCATCGCTGCGGCCCGCGATTGCGGTGAATCATCGATTGCAAACAGGGGTGCGGACGATGAAAAATTCACTTTAGATCAAGCTTTGCGCGGGGCGGGAGGGGGGAGGGGATATAAACCCCCCCGATGCTTGAAGCTCGCTCGCTAGATTATTCCGCTGTCGGATTTGATACACCAAAGAGCGCGGAGCGAACGTGGCACGCTCGTGCCAAAATATCACGGTGCATTTTGTTTATTTTCTTCTTTTTTTTTTTTACAGTCGATCCGTGGTTTTTTGCGAGCTTACTCCGACCGGAAACCATCGCAGGTAATTTCGCAGTCACCCATACACGCGCGCGACGATTAATTCGCCGTATTAAAGGACTTTTTGCTTCCCGCCGGAAATATTTTGCGACCTAAACCGCGATTGTAAATATGCATATTTTCGACGTACGCTCGTCGATGGCCGAATTTTCAAGCGTTGCGATTCGCGCGGATATTTGTATATTTGTTTCCACGGTAAACGGAATTTTAAAACACGACGGCAACATTTTTGTATAGTATTAAGCGAGGAGCATCGAAAAGCCCCCGGTCGCGCGCAAGTAATGAGGAGTATCGGATTAAGGCCCCGTAAGTATTAAAACGAATCCCCCGCCTGACCATACATGCGGCATTAATCACAACGGGAACTAATTACTCGATGCTCTAATCCGCGATAGTGCTATCGCCCGGGGGTTCCGCAATAAAAACTGATTAATTACGGCCACACTGTATTCAAATCCTGAACTAAATTACGGCAAGAACGAGGGCTCGGGCTTCGCGAAATGAATAACGTGGGATATAGTTCGGCGTCCGAATTAGCCGTTTAAGGGATGTATATCGCACAAATTCGCTATAATCCTCAGCAAGTCTGTGTCTTACGCGAGTGCATTGTCAACAACTGCATTGTATTCAACCGGCGAATACTCTATTTCCGAACACGTTTCGTATAAATACATTTTTTTTTTTAATTTTTAATATTTTTTAAGAATTTGTCAGCGATCCAATTTTTCGATGTCAGAGAGAATTCCGATTGTCAAAGCCTCATCCGAGCCTGGGATATTTTTACTCTCGCGAACAAAGGCAATTAGCGACTTTCCCCGGAAAAAAAGACAATGAAAAGGGAGGCTAACGAAAGTTCGTTTTTAATGTTCCAGGATCCGCAAGTGTTGCAGTCCAATGGACGATCCTCGTCGTCGCCCTGATCACATCGATCGCAGCCGCGCGATAATAACGACGAGCGTCTTTCCTTTTTCCTTATACTTTCGTCTCTTTCTTTTCCTTTCCTTTTTTCCACGTTGCTTCCTAAGCCATGTAAAGCGTTAGAAGAGATCGGTTTTCCATCCTATCTACTACTAATTCCTAATCCGCGTAAACCGATAAATAACGCGATACCGATATGCATATAATAAGTGTACGTCCATTTACGCGTCGCCGCGACGTAAGTCTACAATTACGTGCGCTCTAGGCTCTAAATGTATTATCGTGCCCGCGCGGGGTGGACGATCGGCCGATCGATCGCTTTGCGCGATCTATGGATCGCGCACGACTCCCCGCGCGTTCGTTTAGATCGTCCAAAGTCTCTCTAGCGGGAAAACGTCGCGAGAGGCGGCGTCTTTTGTATCGCTTTCGAGATACGATTCGATGTTATTCTTACTACGATGTAGAAAGGGGTTTTCTATTTTCACGACATATCATTTCTATTCATCCGACGATCTTCCCAAAAACCGGATGGTCTTTTCGGGCCCAGCTTGGACTCCCGCGAAAATACGCTTTCACCCCGGAATCGCTGTCGTCCGCTCTCTTCCTGTATCCACCCCGCGTTTCGGCGATTTCCCCGTACAAAGCAGAGTTGATAATAGCCACGAGGGCAGTCGCGAGTGATTTCTTTATATGCTTGCGCACGGTGGAGGAATCATATTCATACGAACAATTTCGTAGAAAAGCGATATAAAGAAAATCTATTCATACGGGAATTTATTTCATGATATTAACAACTAAATCCTGATTTCGATCATTTGACATCTAATCTCGTAAAAATTAATTTACTTCGACTTTTTTTTCACTCGCAAGTCTATTGGGGACGCTCTTAAATTTTCCTCCGACTTATCATTCTTCCGACTGTTTTATTAACCGTGTTACTCCGTGGGTGTATTTCTCTGTCTTTATAGTTTCTAGCAGCTCTCGGTCGGTATATAGCTGAATGCCGCTAAGGAAGTAGCATTCCACTGACTAAATAATATAATATCTCGGCATAATAATATCCTACAATACGCACATGAAGGAAAAGGTGCTAAGTGGAAAACCTCTCTGTAACACGGCAATCTCTATCAAACACCATTGTTACACATTCCCCGCCGTGTGACATTCGCGCCGCAATCGACTCGCGACCTGCTCCGGAGTATCTTTTCATAAATGAGCCTTTCGTTGCATATAAATCGGGGCCCACGTGGCCCCGTAGGTCATAGGCATCGCAACGCGATTAAGTTGAAATCCCGCTCGATAACCCACGCGAAACGCTTAATCGGGTCGCTGTCGTCCCTCTTCTGACTAATTGTAAGGCATAGTTAATCTCATATCGGGTATATGTCACGCGTACGAAATTACTATCGTATTTTCGATCGATATTGAAATATCCCCCTTCTCCCCCCGACAACGCGCGCCGATCGAGCCTAAAGGAGAGGAACGGTCCGAGCCTCACTCGTCCCATGTCTCGTCCCCGACGTGTCGTCGTAATTAACAACAATCCCGTAATTCCAAGCCGACATTGGACAAACGACAACGGCAAGCGCCGCTTGAATCGGTGTTTTTTTTCCTCGTTAAACACCGAAGCAAGGGAATTACACCAGGTGTTGATCGATAGCGCGATATATACGAATAACGCGACATTTCAATGGATTTGTATATTCGTATATAAAACCAGTTTATAGAATTGAATTGCCGTCGTGAATCGAGTTAGAAAAAAAAGCATCCAACTGCTTTAAATCCCCAAAAATTGCATTATTTTTCGTCACGGTACACGAAACTTCGTAAAAGTGAAGTTCGTTAAACGCTTACGAAATTTTATTTATTTATCTCTCTTTTTGCGCTCGCGCGCGCGCGCGCGAACTTGCATCGGTGCATTTCTTTCAAAAGCCGAATATCGTTTTTGAAATTTTATCCGACTGCCGATGGTTCACATTGCACCACTGTGCAGTCGATAATATACTACTCGCTAACTTTATTGAATAATAACTTGGAATAAAGTTTCCGCCTCGTCTAGTTACGGAGTACAGCTGCCTGGCGAGCACTATTAGGGTCACTTTATCCATCGCTATGTATCGATTCGAGATGGTTTTAGCTAAGCTCTTGCGTAAGCGTAAACGAGAATCTGATCGCAAAAAAGGAGTATATATAAATACATATATATATATATATATATACACATATATATATATATATATATTTATGTATATATATGTATCTATATGCACGCACACAAACACACACAAATATCGAAATATGAAAGTATATGAAAGTAGCACAAAGAGCGGAAAATCACCATCGGCAATCCGCGCGTTATCAACTGTCGGCGGCCGATCGATACGCAATTACGCTGGTTAGATATATTTCGATCCTGCCAGCGTATTTTGACTGGAAACGAGTGGCTGTTGCGAGATACACACCGGGCGGTGCGCTACATGTTATTGCCTTACACGAACAAAAAACATAACAAGAAAAATGTTATTGTGATTGAAACTCGTATTACGCGTGTAGCGAAGCCTATGGAACGCATAGGCGTACACTCGACTCGTTATAAAAAGGAAAAAAAAATTACGCGACGGGAAAAAAATGCTCTCTCGATATGAGCGTCGCTCCGTGTAATATAATCCCGTCCTCATCCACGTCCCCATCCTCCTCCTTCTCCACCGTCTCGTTCTCCGCCACGCTCGAGCGAGGAAAACGCGCCTCGGAGCGTTTTTCCCCACGGCGGAAAACACGCGACACAGATATTTGACGGAATTCCGTTTTCAACGCGACAAATGGTGTACTTCCCTTGTAAAGCAGGAAGGATCGCGTCGCTCTTGCCACGCGCGAAGAAAGAAAGCGAGGGACAAATTGACACATATCTGAAGAGGACGAAGACCTTTTGCGATTTTTTTGGAACGCCGTTGCGACGTTGACTCCGCGTGGTTTATCCTGGAAAGAGATAACGGGCGGTGTCCTAAAATAACGCCCGAAATTGAGGGCAAGTGCGACAAAAAGTAGCCGGCCTTCCATGTTTAAACGACGGATTTTCTTGCGTGTATTTTTTCCCCGAGCGTAATCCCCGGAACGAGCTTTTTCGTCGGTTGAATAACGAAAGTGAGATAAGAGTTTATCGACAGTCCGTCAATAAATATAGTTTTATAAATCTTCTTTGCGAGAATGTGACAAAAAGGAGAGAAGGCCATTGATCTTTTTTTTTTTTTATTTTTTAAGAGAGCACTCCTCTTTAGCAAGTTTATATTTCTTATAAATATTTATACAATTTCTCGAAAGCGATTTCTCGAGAGACAAGAGGGAAACCTATCTTATTCGATTCGTGATTTAAAATATCTTGATTCTTTTAATAGTTTTATGCCAACTCGTAATACGCAATGAATGAAAAATTGGGGCGCACCTTATTATACGCAAAAGAGACTTTTTCACATATATTTCCACTATAATAAAACGCAGAATTTTTCAATAAAATTCGCCTCGCTCTTTCATTCCATTATATTCTTAACAAACAATCATTTGTTGGGACAAAATGAGAAAATGTTAAACACGGTCTCTCTTTCCAGGATGAAAACGCGCCTGTATTATTATTTCCGAATCAACGTGAGCGCACATCTCGATACGCTCAAAAGTAGGTCCTTTCGATATATTTTTCGTATACAGACTCTCGGAAGTGCGATATATTTTGCATCGTGGATTTTTCGAGCGCGCGTCGAGGCGCGAAATTGACAGCCCGCGCGACTCGCGCGCGGCACGATTGGCGTTTAATATCCGTTAATCGAGTAGAAAACGCGTTTCATACGGAAGGAAGTAGTGCGTTAAGGCCCTTAATGTACGTGTCGTATTACGAATAAGTGTTTACAAGACTGTAAATATGTACATAATTTTCATCGTTATTAAAATTATTCACTATTATAAGGTGCCGAGTATTAACAATGTCGAATATATATTTTTTTTAAGCACTCCTCTTTGTATTTCCTGTAAACTTTAATATATATGATTTCTCGAAAGCGACGTGAGATCAGAGAAGAGTCTATCTTCGATTTGTGACTTAAAAAAATTGTATCTCAATATATATAATTCTTATGCCAATTCGAAATACGCAATGGATGAAAAATTGGCTCGTCGCGTCACTTTATAATTATTACGAAAATATTTATTTTCCTTCATTACGAAAACCCTATTCAGTTTTATAATTATCATAAAAAATGTATCTTTTTTCCTCTAATGAAATGCATTCCCTACATTGTAGAAAATAGGGAAGAGAGAGGGAGCGAGAGAACATTTCAGCTACATATATTTATTAATATAATTATTATTTCTTCGACGGCTGCCATGCTTGAAATATCGACATAAAATTGAGGAAAAAATAAAGAACAAAATAACTCACCCTTTTCCTGGCACCTGCTCGTCCCGCTCCGACGAGATTCGCGTCTCGTTTGTTTCCGGAAAAATATCCCTTCGATGCCACGACACCTCGCAGATATTCATTTCGTTCTGGATTCACGATAATCACGATTCAAAACAAAGGTAGCGAAATTGGCGATCTAGGGGAAGTCTTTCTTTCCCTCCTTCCTTCCAGAATCACTTCACTTTTCGAAGAATTACGGTCCACAACCACAGCTCGAATCGAACTTTCACGTTTGTTCGACGAAACACGTACGATGAGTTCTCCCTCGCGAAACCGTTGACGACGCGGCCATTTTGTGCTCCGATATTCTCACTTTCCGCGTATTTCCCGCGCGATAACGCGAGTCGCGCAATTTTCATATTCGTTCGCGAAACCATTCCTGGTTTCGGGCGGCCTCGGGTAACTTCGGATCTCGCGATACGATGTA